TCTTATAATGCCATTCGAAACCCACTGCAGGCTGCGTGGATTTTTGTCGTTGTATGGGACGTCGAGGGTCGACCCAAGCCTAAAATGGGTACCAGGATGGGCTGTCCTGGGAAAGTAAAGACAGCCGGCGTAATGCTGACCACATTACCCACAGAGTGCTGGTGGTCTGTAAAAATATGGGACGCTCTGCCCATGTGCCTGATGCGCCGAAAGGCGTGAAAAGGGATCTTTACTTTACTTATACAAGGCATATACTAAAAGAGAAGAGGCGACGAGAGCCCGGGGATGTTTTATCCCACATATTGGTACTTCTGTTGTCTGGCATGAATCTTCAACATTTATGTAACTGTGTGTGTATTCGTTTGTTTCGTGGCAATGCGTGATGTTTGTATGCGTGCCTATATAAAGATCACACACACACATATACAGATTGCACTTTCCCGGCTGCTCTGATATTGCTATCATCGTGTGTAACCTGATGTCGCCACTGGCTGGCAAATATCTCAACACGATGAGTTACTGACGTTTAACCCCATCAGGACCACGCAACGAGCGATTAACACCCAGTGTCACAAAGTGCCACCACTCTGATGAGAACCACATTCAACCGTAAGGGTTATATTTGCGCCCCCGATGACGGTTACGACATAATCTGGCGTCCAGCTTGGGTGAGGCTTTTGAAAACATTTTTTTTAAAAATGTCCTTATGTGTGTGGCACAGGTTTTAAAATACTACTTCTTTGTGTACACCGATTGTAAACTCCGGCGGGAAGTTCTTGTTGTTCGTCCACTTCTGAACTGCAGTCCTGTTTCAGAACTTGAGTGTTTCGTGTACATCCGTTTGACAGATCTGACTTATTTGTGTGCAGACTGTTGGTTACTTGCCTCAGGCAGATGCACTCTGAAGGAAGCTCCAAATTAGTCGACTCTTACGACATGCTTTTGGATAGGCCGTGGGTCTATTCTTGTTTTCCCTAAAATACGTGGCACAGGTTTAAACAAAACGGGTTGCCCACTTCTGACCTTTATATGCGCGCTGTGAACCTACACTAAAGACAAGTGATACCGCAACGTACGTTTATGACTGTTGTTTAGATAGTGCATCCATGTGGCCATGTGAATGCAATAATTGTTACAGTTTACATCAGATTAGGGGACCTGTGGTTATGGCTGTTTGTCGTTCTGTCATTTGGGGTGGGGGGTGGGGGAGGGGAGGTGTGGAAGAAGTGATCTTTTGTTTCGTAACAAGCATGACAGAAGAGAAAACTAATTAAAGGTTTGCTGATATGGAATGTGTTGGACCGAAAGGCACAGATATCGCAGCCTAGCTTTAAATTCCAGCATACCAGTCGCCCCGTTCAAGGCAAACGAAGAAAATACCCAGGCTCTGAAGTATTGTCACCAGTCTTTCTTAGCCTCTAGTGGGTTTTTTCAGCCTTCAGTGTCTTTTTCGGCCTCCAGTGTCCATTTTAATATGTTCGTAATTAATGCTTGAAAAAAAAAAGAAAAGCTTATCTCCACCATCATCATCATCCTGGTCATCGTGTTCACTATCAAAATCACAATGACGCAGATTCTTTGCAGAACGTTTCTTTGATCACAACTCACCAGAAACACTAAATCCTTCTCCAGTTCTCAGCCCACTTGTAAACCGGCCACCCGCCATACTGAATACCACAACACGATGCTGCACAAATAAAAGACATTCCACACGAAAAACGCAGATTACAGTGCTGCACCAAGCACTTAACTAAGAAGCTTGGGCAGTAAACTGTAGACCGCCGTCCATATTTAATGACCTTATATCAGATGTTTTAACGGTCCGTTTGTTACTACAGTTTTGGTATTTGTGCTCATTGTTTTTGAGTCAGACTTTTGTGTTTTGATGTCACTAAATGCATTTTAAAAATCTGCGCACATTATTTAATTTAAAAAAAAAAAACGAGTACAAGTAACGAACTTGGGCCCAGCACACTGTGTTGAGTAACGAAGTCGGACCCAGGACACTGATTGGATGTTTATTCATGTGTCTTAACCTGTAAGACGCATACGCCTGAGTGGTAGGGGTGTCAGGTTGGTGCGAGATTATATTGTGTCGACGGTCTTACCGGCAACCACGTGTCCTTTTTATTACAGGATGTGAGCGCTTTAAAAGATCCCATAACATGTACAACTGACTCTAACCCCAACTCCCTCTACTCCACACACTGAGCCTAGGTCCCACGCCAGAGTGCATTTTAAAAATCTGCGCACATTATCAAAACGCTCTGTTGCTTCAAAGCACAGTGTTACCACACTCGTCGCCTGCAAGCGCTGACAGCTCAAATAAACGCATGCCCTACTTAAAACATAGACGCCTATCATATAGCCACCGACAAACACTAATTCTGCTTACGATGAAAAAAAAAACCCACAAAGTCGACAACCGCTGGTAACAGAACAATGATTAATTAACACGCCACACAGAAAGGTTTGTAAAGACAAACAATACACCAGGACACCCCTCTAGTGTAGACCAGCCTCAGCAAGCATCAATGAAAGGTCAGCTAGTGTGTAGCTGGGCCTGAGTTCGTTACTTGTTCCCAAAAAAATGTCTTCCGGACATCTATTCAACCCCTTTGTTAAATATGATAATTTCACAAGAAAGCACAAACAACTGATTGCGCAATGTCTTGGAATTGTCCAGCTTATCTCATCAGATGCAGTCTTTTTTAGAATTAAACCAAATGGCGCAAGTAAATCAATCCTTTCAAGTGAAATACAAACAAGTACCTCGTTCAAATATTGTTTGTCTTTCTGTGTTAAACTTTTATCGGGAGACATTACAATGGCGTTGACGTGTTTTAGCGCCAGTAATGAATCACTTGAAAATATGCGCACTTTATTTCCTAATGCCGTGAAAATGTTTCATCGCAATATTTGTTATTGGCATTTTTTGGGCGCTTTGTTCGTGAGCGTTTCGTCATCGGATGTGCAAAAAATGTGTAATGGCGCTACATAGAACATGGTATTAATGGTTTCAGATATTTCTTTCTATCCATCGCTTTCGTGGGCGACTCTAGGCTGCTTCCAGTTGTGTCTGTCAGGGCTTACCCTGCTGTCTTGGCATATTTCCAAACCACTTGACCTGTTGTCTTTTGATGTAGTTCTGCGCCCACTCGTTTCCTGATATTGGCGTTTCTAATAGCCCTGTTATTCTTCATTATCATCATCATCCCGTAACTCTGCATGTCGTTGGGTCACTGAAAAATGTCCCTTTGCATAAAAGTAGCACGGAGCCAGGGTAGCAAAGTGTCTAGACACATGCCTTCCTCCCGAAGGTCTTGGGTTCAGACCTACATAGATTTTTCTTCAGAAATGATCTTGGCCGCCTGATTGATTCAGCCTTGAATTACCAGGTAATGCCCTGGGAGGTAAAGGCAGCCAGCGTGATGGTGACCACAAGTCCGTCAGATATCTTTGAATCTCGCTTCATCTGTCTGACATGCTGCTAGAGTAGAAAAGGGTCATTTACTAACTTTTTTTTTTAAACTCATGAAAGCGGCAGTTGAATGTGTTTGATTACTAAAGTTATGACCTTCATTTAAAAGTGGCTGTTGTAAGTGTTTATATACTAAAGTCATGACATTTGTATAAATCTGGCAATTGTACACTAAAGATTGTACACTAAAGATTGTACACTAAAGATTGTACACTAAAGATTGTACACTAAAGATTGTACACTAAAGATTGCACACTAAAGATTGTACACTAAAGATTGTACACTAAAGATTGTACACTAAAGCCATGACCTTGTATATAAAAATGACAGGTGCCTCTGCTTATATATAAAAATTAGTTTTATGTTTTTATATAATGAATTTGTTACCTTTATATAAAAGTGACAGTTATATGTGCTTATATACTGAAGTCGTGACTTTGGTGTCAAAGTGGCAGTGGTATGTATTTATGTACCGAAGTTGTGACCTTTTAAAAGATAACGGTTGTAGGTGTTTATAAACTGAAATAGGACTACAGATAAGTTATGAGAAAACAAATATATTAAAGATACCAACAACAGATCAGGATGTTATGCTAGAGAACAAACCAATAAAGGAAACGGACTGTTTCACTTATGTGGTTTGTAGTTTTGACTATCAAATAATAATATGCATGGGCAAAACAGCAACAGTTTTTAAAAGCCTGTAGAAAACGTGACCTCCAAGTTATATAGCTTCAATTTCAAACTAGGAATCTTCAATTATAACGTTATTTCAATTCTAACATATGCCAGCTAAATTTATAGGAACCGCCAAAGAAATGGAATGGAAGTTAAATGCATTTGAAAATAAATGTGTGAATAATTGTGAAACGTAAAATGGGATGAATTCACAAAGAGTGAGGATGCGAGAAGTTCAGAGAAGTGTCTGGACAAATACCTGTATCTGCTGCATTAAGGCAAAGAAGATGGAAATATACTGGGCACACTCTGAGACGAAATGAGCAAAGAATGATAAAACAGGCACTGGAATGGGAAACAAATAGTCTGAGAGAGAGAACAAGAGGACATCCAAGGGAAACATTAAGAAGATATTACGAGAGGCCAAAAATGCTGGGCTGAACTATATAAATCCAAAGTTGCATGCAGTAGAGCGGAGTGGAGGAATCAAACGTGAACCCTATGTGACGTCTAACGGCACACAAAGGATGATGAGGATGATATACTGAAGTTATGCCCTTGTGTATAAAAGTTTTTGTGGTATGTGGTTGTCTACTGGAGCTAGGTTTCCTTTTGTATCAGGTGACAGTTGTATGTGTTTCAATATTGAAACTAAATTTCCCTTTGTATCAAAGTGACATTTGTATGTATTTAAATTCTCCAGTTAGATGAAGATGGCAATGGGACCATTAGTGTGGATGAGCTTGGATTTGCCTTCAAGACAGTGGGAATTGATTTGCCGGGGTACCAGCTTCGGCAGCTTGTGGCTCAGTATGACACCAATGGCAGTGGAACAATTGACATGGAGGAGTTTAAAAAGGTATGGCCAGGTTGGGTTTAAACGCACCTGCTTATTCAGCTTTATAACTTTAATATGTTTGTAACTGATGTATTCTGATAGGAGCTGTAGTGGAACAGTTGTTAATGTGCTTGGCTTCATCCCTGTGGTCATCGATTTTTTTTTAAAAACCGATTTTGCTAAAAACCCATCCACATTGGACTAAAGGTTACTTCATAACTACTTTGTGATACCCTAATATGACTGTACTGTATGGCTTTATGACTATATGACTGTATGACTAGATGGCTGTATGACTATATGGTTTTATGACTGTATGGTTTTATGACTGTATGGTTTTATGACTGTATGGCTATATGACTGTTTGGCTCTATGACTGTATGGCGCTATGACTATATGGCTGTATGACTATATGGCTGTATGACTATATGGCTGTATGACTATATGGCTGAATGACTATATGGTTTTATGACTGTATGGTTTTATGACTACATGGCTGTATGACTAAATGACTGTATGGCTATATGACTGTTTGGCTCTATGACTGTATGGCGCTATGACTATATGGCTGTATGACTACATGACCATTTGGCAATATGACTATTTGCTTTATGACTATATGGCTGTTTGGCTATATGGCTGTAAATTTCCAGGATTTCTAGCTCTACAGAATGAAAATCTGAAGGGGTAAAACTTAAAAGGAAAAAACCTCAGTTTTGGCTCTTGGGTTGACAGCTTAAGAATGCGCACACAGAAATATTGTCGGATGTAATGTTGGTCAGTGTAATATTGCCGACGTCACTTATTGAGCCCCTAGAGGTATATAAAAATATGTTTCAGGGACTACATACAGTTTGCTTCAACACATGGAGAAAATTGAACTTTTTTTGTATGTTATGTTTTGTTGAAAAGTAAATATGACATTAGTTTAGTAAGTTCCGAAGTAAGGTGGATGCAACAATCTTATAAACTCTCTATTTGAAAGCTTGTTGTTGTTTATTATGCATTGGAACCTACAGCCTTACAGGAATAAAGGTAGCCCACGAAACAAACAAAAAACACACGGAGAAGGGAGCTAGAGAATGATGTTAAATGCAAAGAGAAGGCCAATCAGGAAGATGAAGGAAGTGGGTAGAATCTACAGCAGTGAACCTCAAAAGCTCAGTATTCTGAAGAAGACGAAGAGGATTAATTTACAAAGCATCTGATGTTTAACATCTTTTTTCTTTGTCTTATTTGTGTAATGTTAATGACTTCAATTTTTTCAGCTGTACACATCAGAAAAATCAAAACGTGATATTGGAGTGACCTTCAAGAAAGTAGTTCAAGCCAGAAAGGATGTGAACACGCTGGGGGGCACCAGCCTGGCCTCGGTAGAGGGCACCACACACACAGTGAGGAAATCTGAAACTTTTGCATTTTCACAGTGGGTTAATAGGTCAGTGAAGTTGGAGATAAATAATAGCTGTTATTGGTGATATTGTTCTTCTTCTTTTGTTTTTGTCCTACTGCTTATGCCCGAAAGTATCATAGAGAGAAGTTTAATGTTGTTTCATATCTTATGCGAGTTGCATACCTTGTGTTAGTGTTGGCGATATTGTTGACTGAAATCAAGTAACTCACTGTATGTTTCTTTGTTTTTTTTTTTTTTTTTTTTTTACGTATCCAGAAGCCATGAGTTGTAAACCCTTTGGCTCGGTACTATGGATATCGTAACCCTTCGGCCTTGATTCCATTATAGGTACCGTTAATCTGGGAGAAATGTGGCTTTTCTGCCTACCCCCGGGAGTGAACCCGGACCACAAAGAGTTCGTCACCCGGCCGCCGCGAACATCAGGTTTAACCAACTTCGCTAGAGAGCCGGGCTTTCTTTGTTCATTAGTCAGTGGAGGGTATACAATTCCTAACTTTTTCCTGTGTAAGTTCGGGGAAAAGGGGGGGGGGGGTGAAAGACCCATTACTTCTAAACAAGCATATCATGAAGCGCTACTAGTTAAGGGTTTGTAGGAATTGGATATGTTGGGTCAAAAGATGTAGTTTTTTTTTCAGATTTGCTGTATACCACAACACAATGTGACAACCACATTTTAAATGCAGAAAAAAAAGAAGAAGAATTTCCAAATATGTTCTCTCTCTCTCTCTTTGCTGTTACAGTAAAACCCTATTTTCCATTTGTTATCTTAACTCATTCTGACTCATAATTGTATAATTGTTAACATATTTAGATGCAAAGAGTGTTACTCTAAAGTACACACAGAATGGAAAGAAAGTGTTAACTCTTTCAGTACCAAAGGAAGTCACAGTATGTTTAACGATGGTTACTGATATGCTTGTATGGTACATATGTCTTCTTTTGTTCTTTTATGTTAACTCATTCTTTTTCAGTTTTCCACTGTATCACTTTTGTCTCAAAGCTTTACTTTCAAATTCCTTGAGATGGAAAAAAATTACTGTTCTTAGGTTCAACATACTTTGGATAAAAAGTGCTGAAGTAATAACAGGATTGACATATTTAAAATAGCAACTGACTGGGACTGAAAATGTTAAGTCCTTTAGCCCCCAAAATGCTTCACAGCCATTCTCCGGGAAGGGAATATGTAAAAGTGGAAACAAAGAATTGTTTTCACACCTTGTGTTGCATCAGACCTTTGCTGTTAGCCCTGAATTTGTAAAGATCAACCAGCACTTGAACCAACATATATGGTGCACTAACAGAAGCATCAGTGGATCATTACAGCTCCCTCACAGTAATTTGCTGAGAGAACTGGAAGAAGAGAAGAAGGAGGAGAATCAGTACTTTATTAATGATGTTGGCCTCTTTTACTTCCCATTTTTTCAGTATTCATTTTCTGCTGTCTTTTCCTTATAGCTGTATAAATTGATCTTGTTTCATTAGCTTCCTCCAAGTAATCCTCATTAATTATTCTGACAGTCCAAGGGATTATTCATGTTTATCTGAAAAATCACATATCTGTTGCCTCCAAGTTCTTTTTTATCCAAAAGAGATGAAGACGGATGGATTGCGACAGTGGCATGGAGGGATATAATCATTGGAACTGGTTCAGAGGACAAGGGACCGAGCAGAGGACAAGGGACCGAGATCTGTAAAGATGCATGAATGCCTACGCCACTCGACAGGGCACGGGAGGATAGTGATGATAATGATTTTCTGCTGGGTCGATCGTGGGAACACTTTGCTGAGGTAACTGGTGGAAGAGAAACAGACGAAGAATCAGCACTTAATGAATGGTGTGGTCAGCCTCATTTTGACCACCTTTACTTCCCTATAGATTTCTCACTATCCATTTTATGCTGAGGCAACTGTGGGAACACAAAGGGGGAAAATAATCACTATTAAAAATCAAAAAGAGTAATATAAATGTTTTGAAAGAGGCTAAAACATAAATATACTTATCACAGACATCTGAATGAAGCAGTCATCATTCTATACCCACAATATAGAAGAGTACTTTTTGGAGATATGAGAATAAATCAACTCAAGAACTTAGTGACTGATCAAGATTTAAGGAAATGGAGCTAGGGGAAGGTAAAGAGATAAATACCTGAGTAGTTTTGCTACATGGTTGGCAGTCGAACAAGGACACTGATCTGATCCTTGATTCTGATGATCATGTAGGAGGGCAAACTATGACTTCTTCTTCTTCTTCTCTTTAACCTTTTACCTCATCGAAGTGTCGGGCGTAGATGTAATGACTGTCTGTGCTTATTGGCATGGTACTTACTAATGAAGATGGAAAACAGTTAAAAAAAATTAAAAAAAAATTATCAGCAGTCTTTCATAGTAGCAAGGAAACATGAATTGATTGATATATGGGAACTGGGTTTATTCTTCTCTCTTAAAAATGGGACCTGGAACCAACACCATGATAATGATATTATTTAACCCATTTTAACCCAGACCGTTTCATTATCTTTGGCGAAAATCTTGTCAGATGTGAAGAAATGCTTGCTTAGGGCTGGGAGAGTATCTCTGCATTTCTTCCCTGTCAGCTAACCACTACTCTTGGCCAACTACAACATGCCAGTAAAATGCGAGAAATTATCTTTGTCCTACTAACAGATAATATTATTAGTTACATGTGGAGGGCAAGAGTTAATTGACATTTACAGCAAATATCAGTGTAGCAGGAGATTAAGAGCTTATGACACTGGTTTCTGTATCAAATGAATTTTTTTCTTCTTATTGCCAGAGGTTTAAAAAAATAATCATGAGTCTGAATGTTACACTTGGACTTGGAAAATAGCTCATTTTCAGCCATTGTTATAACTATCCACAAATAAAGAAGACCTGTTGTAAGTTTGACAGCATCTTAACCAACAACAAAACTACTATCACTAGCTTGTTAGGACAAACTAGTTGATCCTGTTATGGATCCTAACACAACACAGTAAACTGAACTGGTACTTATTCTGGCTGAATGTGGTTCCAACACTCCACTGCACAGGCAGAACAAATATATCCAGAATAATTGTTAGCATTATCATCAGTTATGACTTTTGCTTTGAATGTTGGTTGTAATTAATTTGTCATCAACAAACTCACTTCTGTGTCCTCATGATAATGTTGTACAAGTTTTTCCCAGTCTACCTTTGATTGGTCACCCACCTGATATGTTGTTTTATTCCTGAATGCTTCCCCTTCACTTTCTCTTTTAGTGCATCATTTGTCTAAGTGTTGTTTCGCTTTATAGCTGTTGTAAGACTGTCAGATGCTTGATTGGTTACAGACTAGATATTGGCCCACTTAGACAAAAATTGGTTATAGATTAGATATTGACCCACTTAGACAAAAATTGGTTACAGACTAGATATTGGCCCACTTAGACAAAAATCTGTATGAATTTGATTTGGAGTCTCACAGGACTCTCAGATACAGAAGCATATGTCCAAAAAACCTTAATTCTTGTTTAGACATGAGTTCTTCTGTTTTCATCTGCCAGAGTACTGTTGACACATTGTGTTCTGGTTTACTGCTAGACTGTGATACCCACACGTTTTTAGCCCAATTCATCCCCCCCCCCCCCCCCCCCCCCCCCCCCCCCCCCCCCCCCCCACAGCAAAATAGATCTGAATTATTTGCCTTTTATGACATTCTTGTTACAAGACTATGTCTTTTCTTTCTTTTTTTCCCACCAAAAAAATGAATCCCCAGGATCTACACAGGAATTATGAAAAGAACAGTGAACAAAGGAGCAGGTACAAAACAAAACAAACACAAATTACAATTCTCCCAAAATACACCAGTATCTATAAAAAGTGACGTGATTATAGTTTTTTCCTGTTATTTTTTTTTTTCAAATAAATATTTACCAAAAACGATTTTGGTTTTTCTTTAATAGAGTTTTTCTTTAAAGTGAATATTGGCCATTTTGTTACACAAAATGTGAAAAATTCACATGTTTTTACACAGATAAAATGGTTAGCTTTCAAAAAATGGTCAGTCTAGGAAAATGTTTGAAGTATGGCTTTTTACTACTGTAGAGTATTATACTAAAAAGTAAATAGCTATAATGGTAATGTTTAAAAAGTAAAGATTTAGAAACCTTGTTTGAGGTCAACAGGATGTGTTTGAAGGTTTTGTGAAGGGCTCTTGTCAGATTTGAGAGGATTCTTTATCTAAACAGATGATAGTGTCAGGGTATAATTATCTAAACTTGAGTCACTTTAGAAAAGGTAGCTAATTTCAGATATGATGTTTAGTTGGTTCTCTGTAGTTTGAAACTACTGTCTTCAGGTTTTCATGTTAGAAAGTTTGTTTGTCTGTTTTATAGCATTACAGAAGGAAACCTCTTGTGCTCCTTTTTATGTACATCTCAGTTCTCAGTTGTTTAAAACTCACTCCTCCCCCCCCCCCCCCCCCCCCCTCCTTTTCCTTTCCGTGTGTAAGTGAATGTGTTTGTGTATGAGGATGTTATGGCTCTGTGTGTGTTGTGTCTGTGCCAATGTTGTATCTGTAAATGTAGATGCACTTATGTAGTTTATACGTCTGTGTATGTGTTGTCAGTCATTGTCTTCTTCTACTTCAATCCTTTTGTCAGAAAACATATATATCAGAAGGCTGGTAGCCTGTATGTTGTGTCAGTGTGTGCACCTCTATGTGTGTAAGTGTGTTTGGTAAATATGTGTACATCCACTTTGTGTGCTCTTTTGCCTTGTATTTATGTATTTATGTATATATGCTTTTATATTTGTACTCATAAGTACTGTAAATTTGTATAAATGAACATAATATGCTTTATTTATTAAATGTGATAGTCGTGACGAAGATTAATGTGTAGAAGGGTCAATTTTTGACCCCCTCTCTCTCTCAATCTCTCTCTCTCTCTTTCTCTCTCTCTCTCTCTTGCTCTCTCTCTTTCTTTCTTTCTTACCTATCTATCTTTATTACATAGATACTCTACCAACTCTTTACTACCTTGACACATTTCCAACAGTTGTAGAAGTAATAAACTAACATTCGGGAAGGCCCCAGGCAGAGATGGAAGTCCTTTTGAGATCATTAGGAATGGAAAAGACATACTAACCCCACAAATTCATCAGCTAATGAAACTTTGCTGGCATGAAGGAAAAGTTCCACAAGACTTTAGAGATTCAGCCATCATAAATGTCTACAAGAAGGGCGATCAGAGTGACTGCAACAACTACAGAGGAATATCACTATTGTATACTGTTAGAAAAGTACTTGCGAGAATTGTTCAGCGTAGACTCCAGATCCTCAGAGACTAGGTTTACCCAGAGTCACAGTGTGGCTTTTGTGGAAACAGGTCTACCATTGATATGATATTTTCATTACGATAGTTGCAGAAAAAATGCTGTAAACATACTCAAACACTGTATATTGCTTTTATTGATCTTACCTAGATTTGATTTGATTTGGTTAGTGGTAAAGGTCTATTCAGCGCACTCAAGAAAATTAAGAATAGTTGGCATTACTTGGCAAGACAAGATCACATGGTGTCAGTATCCTGATTTCAGTCATTTATTTTATTTTTTTTTGTTTTTTTTTTGGCAGCAACTTGAAAGATGACCCAGACTGCCAGTCTCTGCTGCCAGTGAACAGTGAGAGCAACGAATTGTTTGATAAATGCAAGAATGGAATCATTCTATGGTAATATAATACTCCCAGTAATTTTGTCTTACCTAAACTGAAAAAATCTGTTGAGATGAAACTGACTACCTATAGTACCATTTTTTTAGGGTCGGGGAGTGTGGGTGTCTTGAACCTGAGGATTTCGGGCCTCATGGCTGATGCAGTCACCATAAAACTGTAGAAAGTTGCCCCCCCCCCCCCCCAAATGTTCTCGCATATACCAAACCTGTTATTCTCTTCCCCCCCCCCCCCCCCCCACATGGGGAAAGGGGATAGAAATAAACGAAAAACCTAATTGCAGGTGAGTTAAAGGCTAATTGTCTAAGAAAAGGCACGCCTCATGCTTGTGACAGACAACAACGGCCCTGAAATCCCATGCTCTAGTTGTGGAAGGTTTTTCCTAATGCTGCAGGTCTTGCTAGCAACACTCACCTTCGCCATGACTCCCATAGCACACAGTATAACACTATCACTTGGAAAGATGGAAAGGTGCTAACAGAACACACACAACACACCACACACATACCACACACACACACATGCACGCACGCACACATGCACGCACGCACGCGCACACACACACACACAAAGTATAATAATTGTATAACATTGTCATCTTCAGGTATGATAAGTAAGCAGCTGTAGCATTCCTGTGTTTGTTGTCTGTAATTCCAGTAAACTGATCAACAAGTCAGCCCCTTCTACCATCGATGAAAGGACAATCAACAAAACTAATTTGTCTGTGTACCGCCGCCATGAGAACCTGACCCTTGCCATCAACTCTGCTCAGGCCATCGGCTGCTCCACGGTCAATATTGGTCCAGAAGATTTGGACAGTGGCAAACCCCATCTGGTGCTTGGGTTGCTTTGGCAGATTATTAGGGTGAGTGTGGAGGTGGAAGGGCAAGAGCATGTCGATTCTGATTGGTCATGTCTGTGTGTTCAGATTTACCTAGAGATATTGACTTAATACACTAGATAACAGATTGGTCATGTCTGTGTGTTCAGATTTACCTAAAGATATTGACTTAATACACTAGATAACAGATTGGTCATGTCTGTGTGTTCAGATTTACCTAAAGATATTGACTTAATACACTAGATAACAGATTGGTCATGTCTGTGTGTTCAGATTTACCTAAAGATATTGACTTAATACACTAGATAACAGATTGGTCATGTCTGTGTGTTCAGATTTACTTAGAGATATTGACTTAATACACTAGATAACAGATTGGTCATGTCTGTGTGTTCAGATTTACCTAGAGATATTGACTTATTACACTAGATAACAGATTGGTCATGTCTTTGTGTTCAGATTTACTTAGAGATATTGACTTAATACACTAGAAGATAACAGATTGGTCAGGTATGTGTGTTCAGATTTACTTAGAGATATTGACTTAATACACTAGAAGATAACAGATTGGTCGGGTATGTGTGTTCAGATTTACTTAGAGATATTGACTTAATACACTAGAAGATAACAGATTGGTCAGGTATGTGTGTTCAGATTTACTTAGAGATATTGACTTAATACACTAGAAGATAACAGATTGGTCAGGTATGTGTGTTCAGATTTACATAGAGATATTGACTTATTACACTAGATAACAGATTGGTCAGGTATCTGTGTTCAGATTTACTTAGAGATATTGACTTATTACACTAGATAACAGATTGGTCAGGTATGTGTGTTCAGATTTACTTAGAGATATTGACTTATTACACTAGATAACAGATTGGTCAGGTATGTGTGTTCAGATTTACTTAGAGATATTGACTTATTACACTAGATAACAGATTGGTCAGGTATGTGTGTTCAGATTTACTTAGAGATATTGACTTATTACACTAGATAACAGATTGGTCAGGTATGTGTGTTCAGATTTACTTAGAGATATTGACTTATTACACTAGATAACAGATTGGTCATGTCTTTGTGTTCAGATTTACTTAGAGATATTGACTTATTACACTAGATAACAGATTGGTCATATCTTTGTGTTCAGATTTACTTATAGATATTGACTTATTACACTAGATAACAGATTGGTCATGTTTATATGTTCAGATTGGCTTACTGAGAGATATGAACTTAATCCACTAGATTACGGATTGGGCATGTTTGTGTATTTAGACTGGCTTACTGAGAGATATGAACTTAGTCCACTAGATAACGGATTGGTCATGACTGTTTTGTTTAGATTGGCTTACTTAGAGATATTGACTTGATACACTAGATAACAGATTGGCCATGTTTGTGTGTTCAGATTGACTTACTTAGAGAAATCAGCTTAGTCCGCTAGATAACAATGAGTTAATCAGTGGGCTATGGGAACAGTTAGCATCTACACCTTAATACATTAGTTGCATGATACTGAGCACTTATAGGTATGCACATTGTGCTTTGATGTCAATTGTTAAATCAGTAAATCAGTATGTTTAATATTTTCAGATTGGCTTACTCAGTGACATCAACTTAGCCCATCACCCAGGTCTCATCCATCTTCTGGAGGAAGACGAAACACTAGAAGATCTCCAGAAGTTGACCCCAGAGCAGATACTTCTAAGATGGGTCAACTATCATCTGCGTAATGCTGGCAGTGATCTTCGCATCAAAAACTTTTCAGAGGACATCAAGGTTTGGTTGTAGTTTTTGCACATATCTGATAGCTAGTGTTGTTGAATGCTTTCAGCAGTCTTTGTGTTAGACACTTATAAGAGAGATTAACTCCTCTACAATCCCAGGCACCTGTTGTTTCAGCACTGTTTATCATAAAGTGTTTGTACTTTGAAGTAACAGCTGTTTTTAGTTTAAGGAATTGAAAAATACGGATTTGGGAAAGAGCGAGTAACAGAAACAATTGAAATAGAATGGGTTAATGTAATAAAGAGTAGGGTAGAGAGTAAAGAAATATGTACCATTTAAAAAGTAAACAATGAAGATACTGTAAGTCCTGGTGCTGAAAGAGTTCAAGTATACACTTAAATGCGTACTTGATTATTAGCACTGCTCAATGCTGGTAGTTCTCAGTGTATTGTAAAGTAAAAGTAAAGGACCCTTTTCCAAGCGTTTTAGGCGTATAGGGCTAGACCTATATTTTATAGACCAATCGGCACAAGATGGGTGATGTGGTCAGCATCACGCTGGCCGCCTTTACTTCCCGGGACTGAACCCGGTACCCACTCAAGGCTGGGTGGACCCGGGAGCCAAGGTCATTTCTGAAAAAAGTCCGACTCCCCCATGTACGAACCCACTACCTTCCGATCCGTGGCGAGCGTCTAGCCGCTCTCAGTGTATTGTGAACTAATAAAATTCAGATTGTTTATTAAGGTACCAGTTTCTTGATTTTCCATACTTATGTTTTCTAGCATAATTTTCAAAACTAAAGTATTTTTACCTTTAGAAATTGAAAAGACAAAAATTAACAGACAACCAGAAACATTTTTGATACATTTAAATAAAATTCTGAAAATTTTCTGGTACCCATTTTCTTGCAGCTGAGTTATTCACAGAGCCATGCTGGTTTTTTTTTTTTTTTAAATCATGTCTGAACCATTTGATCTATTACCTCTAATGAGGATTTAATCTGGACCACTGCCTTGGTTTTAAAATTTATCTTTTAGGTGTAGTTTATACCCTCACAGACTATTTAACAGTTGTGTGAAGCGGCACAGTTTAATCAGTTTGTATAGTACAATTGATCTTTATGTGTGCAGCTCTATGGCTTAGACAAATGGGTGCTTTCTTAATATCCTACCCCAAGCAGGAGAAATCCACAGGACACTGGACAGTCGAATATTTCAGGGGGTGTTAGATAGGCTGCATACAGTCGTGGGACCTAGGCTGCACTCTCTTGCGGGGCATAGGTTAGTTGGGGTTCAATATAATTAAATGTATTATATGACTCAGTAGCCAGAATTTGATTGTGGAGATAGCTCACAATAATAAGAGTCTTTATGTAATATAGGTAGTTTATTATAAAAAGATAACAATTTAAAAAAATGTTTGATGACAACTGGAGAGATTAGAGAGAGAGAGAGGAAGAGAGAAAATCGTTGACATCTTTTTTTTTGGGGGGGGGGGGGGGGTTGAAGGTCATGGCAGGAAAGTGGCCACCACAAAATGTAGAGAAGCAGGATTGCCCATACCAGTAGGCAAGGTGCTTGATAATGATTAAATATGTCATAAAAGTAATTTAAAAAAAAAATAAAAATTAATGCTTATCTGGCTCATGATGCTAGGCTCATTTTTTTAATAGACCAATCTGCACTTGGTGGATGATGCGGTCAACATCACTGCTGCCACCATTGCTTCCCAGAACATTATCTTGAACACATTTTAGAGGCTGGGTTGACCTGGGAGCCAGGGTCATTTCGAAAACTGCTTGGATGCAGATTTGAACCTTAGACGTTCAGGCCAGCAGAAGAATGTCTAGTGGCTACACAACCCATGGCTCTCTGATGTCATATAGTGGATATATTTTCTTTTCACTTTATTTGTCTCAGATTATTAATCTAAATTAGGGATTTTATTATTCCACTAGGATTCAGAGGCATACACATACTTGCTGCACCAGATTGCACCAAAAGAGAAAGGGGTTGACCTCTCACCTCTGGGGGTAAGACTATTATGTTGATTATGTTTTGGCCACATTATAATTGTAGATATTTTTAGTCTTTGTAGTCCGGTAGTCAAGATTTCAACTTGCTACCTTTCTCTGCCAGTAAATATCACATGAAATACCCTTAACTCTTCTTTTTAAAAAACTAGGAACAAACAGTTAGTCTTGGCAATACCCAGAAACATGCATACGCTTGTAAATGCATGAGGCAGCTGCCAGGATGCCAACAGTTGCTACCAGGAATTGTAATAGGTGTTGATTGTGTAGAATGGATGACATTGATAATCATGAGAAGCAGATTTGTATTGGTTTAGAGTAGTCTTACCCCGTGTAGGCACTTGCCTGAGCGGTGAGGAACTAGCAGTCTGCATGCATATAAGTCAGATCTGTAAAATGGATGTGCACACAAAACTCATGTTCTGGAACAAGACCAAAGTCCAGAAATGAACGAACAGTCATGTTTTTCTGTTGCATTTACTGTTGGTAAACGTGAAGAAGAGTAGTTGTCTTGATGCATTCTTTCCATTGCTTTCTTATCCCCTCTAGCCTAGTACCTAGATCATTGTTTTAAAGTTTTCTAAATCATCAATATTCGTCAGAGGGATGTAATTGTGTTGTGCATAATTACAGCATAGCTAAGATGTTTGCCTCTTTCAGCCGACACATCTGACTTCTTAAGACATTATCTTACTTCTTTGAGATAACTAAACAACAGTGAATGTGGGGAGACAAAAACCTTCCAGTGGATAGTGATGTCCTTTTACTGGAACTTACAGGGGAAATGGCAAAAGGGAAAACCAAACATAGAGAAGAGTACAAGATAAAAAAAGATTGGGGATAACTTGGGATTAGCTGCTGCATGAGATGGCTAAGAATGGGATGACTTGTTGCAAGATGAATGAAAGCCTATGCTCCACAGGATGTGATGTGTACTTTTCCCAGTGCGGTATCAGCTTTTGTGATTGACTGCAATTCTTTTGTGGGTCCGTTAGTGTTGTCACATCTGACAGCTGCTTAATACATTTTTACATTGTGTATGCAAGTTTCAAGATTTTGCTGGGACTGACAAGTTTTTCATTATTTTTCAAATGGGACAATGAGGAACATTTTGTGTGATTTCCACTGGAACTGGAACGGGACAGTTATGGGACGCTCCCGTCTGCAGTGGTGTTGGAACCTCGGCTTACGTAGGATAATGAGCAGAAGAAGAAAAAGCAAGAAGATACTTCTTATTCTCTATTCATCCTTAAAAGTACGCTTGGCCTGTTTTGTTGTAGTTTACAACAATGCTGTGATATCTGCACCTTCAGCCCAACACATTCGATTCCAGGAAATCTCTAATTAGTTGTCTTTGACAACATGCAAACGTAGACACTTACATCCTCCAGTGATCATAAAATTGTGACAACAGAGATGAAATGCCTTAGAAGAGCTGCAGGAGTTTCAAAGAAAGACAGAATACCAAATCATAAAATCAGATGAATATAAGGAATAAAGCCAGTCTTACAGGTCATCAAAGAACAAAAATAGAAGTGGTTTGGACACCTAACAAGAATGCCCTAGTACTATCTGCCACAGCGAGCCACACTAAAATGTTACAACGGGTATAGAGCGAGTGGAAGACCTCAGAAAAAAATGGAGTGATGGCATTAAGAACAACCTTAGAGAAATGAACATCAGTCTTAATAGTGCTCATCAACAAATGTTACATCTCCTCCCGGCACTTCGATGAGGTACAAGGTGGAAGATAAGAAAAAGACAACATGCTTGTTAAGAGGCTGTAGGTTAATTTCCCCCCACCAAAATTGGAGCCCTGTAACCTCGACAGGAAAAGAATCTTGATTTCTCTAACAGTTGTTCTTATCTATTTCTCCAGTGGATTTTTTAAAAACTCTCTTTCATCACTGAATGTGATTCTTGTCTGATAGGTTATAGATAGGCACCAGAGAGCAGAGTTGATGCTGCAGCAGGCCAACAAAATTGAATGTCGCTCCTTTGTGGGCCCAAATGATGTTGTAGAGGGAAATGCAAAGCTGAACTTGGCATTTGTTGCTAATCTTTTCAACAACTATCCAGCACTGGAAGGTGTAGATGCCGACATTGAGTTGGACATTCATGAGGAAACCAGGGAAGAAAAAAGTAAGGAGTTTGTCCCTAGTCTCACTTAGAAGTTATATAATTTATTTATTTCTCTGCCCCCTAAGGGTCTAAAGGACAATTTCAGAAGTGAAGACAATCATGGACACTCCTGCTACACACTGTTGCACACACACAAACACAGAGTACATAATCACAAATAGAGAAATCCTGCATCCTTCAAGAGTTAACGTCTGTCTGGAACTACTTGAGTTAAAATAACTTCTTCTATGTTTATCCTTCACTCTTTCAGTACGAGGGAACTCACTATAAGTTCATTAGTTGTTCTTTACTTGCTATACAATTCTTTATTTTTCCTATCCCATTCTTCTCTAATGTTAACCCTTATATTTAAACAGCTACAATAATGTAATAATTTTTTTTCCAGGTTTATGAGACTGAAAGTTTGTTGCTCTACAATACAAAAACATATAAAAAGAATGTGTTTAAAATGTGTATTTCCTAATTTGGGAATAAACAAATAGGGGTAATCTTATACATTGGGTGTTTTATACATGAAAAAAAAAAAGTTTAATTTTTGTCTGCAGTAAAGTGAAAATGAATGAAAAGATTGTGACTTGATCTCAAAAATTAGGCTTTGATTTTGTTGTTGTTGCTAAATCTCATGAAGCTACCATGAACTTTTATTTGACATATATAATATAGTGCCAAGTACAGAAATTTAAGTATCTGGGCACATGGATAACATCAGATGGAAGATGCATAACTGAAATAAGAAACAGAATTGGACAGGCAAAAACTGCATTTTATAAAATAAAAAACATCTTGTGCAATATATCCTTGTCATTGAGAGTTAGAAAAAGAATTCTTGCTTGCTACATACATCGTTTTAACATATGGATGTGAATCCTGGACAATCGGTAGGCAGGCCAAACAATTTTTAGAGGCATCAGAGATGTGGTTTTACAGAAGAATGCTTAGAATACCTTGGACAGCCAAAAAGAGCAACCAAGAGGTTTTGAAAGAGGTGGGAGCCCGAAAACTTCAGAAGGAGAGAGTCATCATTTTTCGGCCATGTTATGAGAAGAGGGAAAATAGAACATGTTGTGACCACTAGAAAGATCTGTGGAAACAGGGATAGAGGAAGACAACAAGAGAAGATGCTTGACAGTCTTGTTGCATGGCATGGAGGTGTGTCAGCACGCGAACTGATACATGCTGCAGGAGATCGCAGATTATGGAGAGGCATGATCGCCTACGACAGTTGGCAAGGCACCTGATGATGATGATGAATATAGTGCATGGGTGGGGAACTCATTTCTCTGCCATTGGCCATTAGGATATTTATCAGATAATTTATGGGCCTTTCAGAATTTTCAGCTTAAAAAATAGCCTGCTGTATTTGGTCAAATATTTAATTGCTGTTATATTATCACAATTGATGTTGCTGCACATTGGGTATTCCTGTGTGCTTAATCTTCCAGTACTTGACCTCAAAGATGACATAGATGTGCTTCAACAGCATGTCTGTTGTGTCTGCTTCTACCATACTCTCCTCTCCTCCTTCTGAATCTAGGAGGTGTTACTGTATTAGATCTCAGCAAAGATGCTCAAACTCCTTAGCTCTGGCGGGGATCTGTTTAAATGCATTGCCGCGGTAGACCAGACCAAATGATTTTGTGGGCTTTTTGTGGCCCGCGGTTTGTACTTTCCCTACCCATGGTTGAGAGCAATTGGCTAGTTTTTCCTCTTGCACATTTATTCATATTTCATAACATTGTCATCATATATTGCATTTTCACCCAACCTTTACATCCTTGGGGGGGGGGGGGGGGGGGGGGCTGTTGTGGTGTTAGGTGTAGCAGCTAGGTGGATCAGCTTCGAATCAGAAGGTCGTGGGATTTCGGTCCTGGATGCAGCGTGACTACTTTTTTTTTTATTTTCTTTTAAAAGACCTTGTCTCCCAGGTCGACTCAACCTTGAGTGGGTACCAAATGGAAGTCCTGGGAAGTAAAGGTGGTCGGCATGATATTGACTACATCACCCACCAAGTGCTGATTGTTCTAAAAAATAAAGGTCTTGCCCTATATGCCTGAAGGTGTGGAGAACTGTCTTTTACTTTACATCATTTAAGTTTAATACGTCCAGTGCTATGTGAACACATACAGTGTTTTAACATATGTTCTTATATCCAGTATTATGTTCCCCAGCATATCGTAACTGGATGAACAGCATGGGTGTTAGTCCTTATGTCCACAACATCTACAATGACCTCACCGACGGGCTAATCATCTTCCAGCTCTATGACATCTGCAAACCTGGAGTTGTCGACTGGAACAAGGTTCACAAGAAGTTTAATAAACTAAAGGCTAACTTTGAGAAAATAGGTCAGTTTTCGGTCACATTAGATTTTCGCTTAAATCCGATGAAACGATATTTTCTTGGTTATGTAATGAAAAAAAATAGACTTTCAGGACTTTACTGCTTGTTTTTACCATTTTTAAAGTTGGGAAAGGGGTGGGGGGGGGGGGGGTGGGGGGGGGGGGGGGGGGGAATGTTCGAAGGTCTAAAGGCTGAGGATTTTGAGCTGCATGGCTATTACAGTCACAAGGTAGGATTGTTGGTGTTGTCTCTGACAAGAGAACAGAGAAACCTGGGTCTATTTAATGAAGTCCTAGAATTCTGGACTGCTCAGCCAGGTACTCCTCAGCTTGTTTCATAGGCCTTGAAAAACACCTCCACTCAAAAAACAAACTACATTTCATTTCCTATTTCCATAGTCCAATCCTTAGTCCATGTGATGTGTGTCATCATGTCTGTCTCTTTTACTGACAGAAGTTCTTTTGTGCCATGATGCCACACTATCTTACGTTCTCTCTTTTAGTCTTCCCTCACCTCACTTCCCCCTTCAGCTTTCCTGTTGCCATAAAATAAGCCAATTTTCCCCCTTCTAATGACTTGTGTTGCAGGAAAGAAGTTCTTTTTTATGAGTTAACTTCTTTCAAGACGTTGCCTTCATCTGTTGTTGCAACTTACAGAGGTGCATTAATACGAGAAAGCTGGTATTTTAGCTGTACGGAACCTATCATCAAAAGGTATTGAGAGCTGCAGGTTTGATAAGATCACTCATCAGAACCTTTAAAGAAAACACATAGGAGCATATATGAAATAAGATGACTGCAGTAAAGCCATGAGCGTCTAGAAACAATTTGCGAAACATAAAGTATATGTCAGTATATTAGTGTGATAATACTAGATATGTATATTGTCATTTACTTTATGATTTGCACATCTCTACTAAAGAAAAGACATAACGATTTCTGGGGGCCTATTAACCGAATAGATGGAATGAAGGGTCATAGAGGTAGGCAGTAATACAAATGGAAGTTGAGATGAAGAGCCTTCTTAACAGCATTATGATCCCCTTGGAAAACCAGTGTGCTGGGACCTCTATGACCACCACTCATAGAAATAAAATGTAAATGGCTGATAATATATTAAACTTAAATATGGACTAGCATGGGACCCCTTTGCTAGTGGGGCTCCTAGGGCGAGTGCTGAGCGAGCCCATGCATTAAGACACCACTGTAAGATGGACAAGCAGCAGTCCTAGACAGTGTACAGCTGGGATGAGAGACAGTATTGAAGATCAGTTGCAGCCAATATTCATATATAGATCAGAAGTCTTCAACCTGGGAGGGGGATGACATTTCTGGGCGACGTCAAGCAATTTTACAGCTGAATGCATTTGTACGTGTAGTAATGTGGATTTTCAGCTTTAACAGTCATGGATATAAAATAGCGTTGCCAGCTTGATGTGGAGAGTTATCTCTGTTGTGCCTTGTCCAACATGAGACTAGAGATAGCAGATATCATCAAGAAAAAACAGTATCAACCTTCACAGTGGTATTTGGACACTAATTTAATAGTTGGTGATTGTTTCTTTTGTTATTTGACGCTGATTTATGTTTTCTCCAAGTTCTTGTAATGCTTTTTTATGCTTGAAATAATATACATAGAGACCTATGCAGTCGATAAGAAGCTCGCTTTCAAATCCAGCTGCGACTCGCTGCAGCCCACGGTTAGTGTTCGAAACCTTTTCGGCTCCCGGGGTTCACCCAGCCTCTAGGAAATGGGCACCAGAGTTGACAATCTGGGGTAAATGGAGGAACGTCACTGTAGCCACAGAATTAAGTGCGTACGGCGACACAGGCGGACAATTCTTATCAGCTGTCCGTACTGGTGGCAGAGCACTTATGGTTTATAACCATGTGCAGTGACGCTGGTTCACATCTCCAGACTTTACCTTTTTTTTTTTTTACCCATATACATTTGTCAACTTTCATTCTTCTGCAGAAAATTGTAATTATGCCTGTCAGTTGGGAAACAAGTTAGATTTCTCTCTCGTGGGTGTCGCAGGCAAGGATATCCATGATGGCAATCAGACGTTAACTTTAGGTAAGACTTTGTTTAACTGGATAGCAGTTATATACATTGAGATATCTCTCTTAGCTGTAAAATATCTATGGAGGGTCTCTATTTAATTTACAACAATAGATGGGAGTCTGGTCATAATTCTAATACATCAGTAAGACTCCCTTTAAATCTTAAAAACATCAGTAAAGAGTCTTTCCCTAATTTTCTTATACATTTATGAAGTGTCTTCTCTTAATACTTATCCATTATGGAAAATGTTCCCTTGCCCCTTAATTTTGAATCATTAGTGGAGAATCTCCCATTAATTATTAAATATCGGTGTAGACTCTGTCCTTAATTATTGTACATTAAGGAGTCTCCCTTTCATTCCTTTACATTAGTGGGGAGCCCACCTTTAACCATGTAAGTGCAATGACTGCCGGGGCATAGTGACCTATATCAGAAATGACATACAAGGAGATGTAACAATGCTGTCGACATCTCACCCTACAGATGTGCAAAAAATAACTATCTGGCACAATGGAAGCAAATACACGATATACAACGTGTACAGCCCACCTCAGACAACATGCAACATACCAGAACTATACAAGACACAGTACCATAAAACCCTTCTTGTTGGTGACTTCAACGGACACTCGCCACGTTGGGGTTACCCTGACTACAATAGCACAGGGAAGTACATCGAAGATACTTGTGAAACAACTAACCTATTAGTGCTGCAGGACACAGAGTCTACACCTACACTGTTACACAGGGCCCACCTATCTCTCAGCAGACCAGACCTGACCATCTGCTCATCCGACTTAGCAGACGCAAGCTATCCCCAAGTCCTGGACGACATAGGAAGTGACCACAAACCTATACTCACAACTGTAAGCACCACCCCTAAATTACGCTTCAAGCAGAGAACCCGTTGGAATTTCCCGAAAAGCAAACTGGAAACTATTTCAGGAAACATCTGACTGCCTCCTGGGAAGAATTGACAACAGCTGTGTGGAAACTTTTTGTGAAGACATAACACAAGCAATCCTGAATGCAGCGTCGAAAGCCATCCCAAGGGGCAGCCGGAAGGCATATAAACCTTTTTGGAATCAAGAAATTCAAAATACTATATCTGAAAGGAATAAAGCAAGAATATTTCTCGAAACTGCACGTTCAACAGAAGCAAAGATCCAATACAATAAAGCATGTGCCAGAGTAAAGCTTGTAGTTAATAAGGCTAAAAGAGATAAATGGACAGAAACTTGCTCCAACTTAGACCTTAGACAGAATGGAAATAAAGCATGGACTTTAGTTAAAAACCTCTCCGGAGAAAGTAGAAGGGTGAACCCAAAACCAGTGACAGATGGGAGTAAGACAATCACTGAAGACAAGAAGAAAGCAGAACATTTCAATCATTATTTTGCCTTGGTTAACAGAGCAGGTAAGCTGTCAGAACTCGATAGAACACAGCTCTCTCAGTTGAAGAAACAAGAGAGAGCTCCAACAGCCAGCGACTCCCTTTTTGAAAATGAATTTAGCATGGATGAATTAGAGCAAGCCCTGAAGAAATTAAAACCTAGAAAATCTCCAGGCCCAGATAAGATCCACAACGAAATGCTGCTACATCTTGGCCGGTCTGGGAGAGAAGTAGTTCTCAGGCTTATTAATAAAACTTGGAGGTCAAGCAAACTTCCAAGGGCATGGAGGAATGCATATATCGTCCCCATCCTTAAAACCAAAAAGCCTCCAGATGACCCAAAAAGCTACCGCCCGATATCCTTAACATCATGCTTGGGCAAAGTTGCAGAAAGAATGATAAACAGGCGCTTATATTGGTTCCTTGAGAGTTCTGGTGTTCTATGCCATGAACAGGCAGGCTTCAGAACCAACAGCTGCACAGAAGACCAGCTGTTCAGACTGACACAAAGAATACATGATGGCTTCCAGAATAAGAAACACACAGTGGCAGTCTTTGTCGACCTCCAGCAGGCCTATGACAGAGTATGGAGAAAAGGTCTCCTGATGAAGATGATGAGCATAGGAATACATGGCAGATTGTATAACTGGGTGAAATACTTCCTGATAGATAGAACAATCCAGACTAAGATGCACAACGCAATCTCTTCTAAAGAAGTCTTGGAGGAGGGCTTGCCACAAGGCTCATCATTGAGCTGTACACTATTCCTAATCTTTATCAATGACCTGCCAGAACAAATCAAGGCCGAAAAAGCCTTGTACGCTGATGACCTAGCAATATGGCAGAGTCATGAAAATGTGGAAAGTGGAGCCCAAAGACTGAATGGAGACCTTAGAAGACTGCATGATTACTGCCAAAGATGGAAACTCAAGATTAACTGTGCAAAGACGGTCTACACAATCTTTACCAAAAGCCACCAAGTAGCAAGGAAGAATATTAACCTGAGGTTAGACAAACACCAAGTGATGAAAGAAGAGCATCCCACATACCTTGGAGTCACACTTGACCCGCAGCTCAGCCTCAAGAACCATATTGAAAACATCAGGAATAAGGCATTGAGGCGGTTACAGTTATTAAAGAGACTTGCAGGTACATCATGGGGATCAGACAAGGAAACTCTGAGGGGCTTATACCTAGGATATGTTCGCTCTGTGATAGAGTACAACAACTCACTGCTTACAACTTGTTCCAAAACTAACCTAGAGACTCTTGACAGAGTACAAAATAATGCCCTCCGATTAATCTGCGGAGCTATGCAGTCTACACCAACTGCTGCATGTGAAAATCCATACAAATGTGGAACCCCTCGGGTTGCGGAGAGAAAAAGCCACTTTAGAAATTTATGAAAGATGCGTTAGGAAAAAATCGTAACCATCCTAATAGACATCTTGTAGAAAAACTGGGAATCCAAACAAAGAATAAAGCACAAATCGGTTTTACACTGTGTTAATGAAATTCAGGACAGATACCACCTCCCAGAAAGACGTCAAGGAATTCAGAATGTTGCAAAAAACCTACCACCACATGCTCGCTTTAAAGCTCCAGAAGTCCAAACTAAATTGGTAGGCGAGGAAACCAAACAGTCCAACCCAATCGCTCTTATGAACTCATCACTAAAGACCGTTGATTCTTACCCCCAAGAATGGATACATGTCTATACTGATGGATCAGCATTTAAAGCTACCATTAAAGCAGGTTACGGAATCTACATAGGTTATCCCGATGGATCTGTTGAAGAGATTTTTGATGCATGCGGGGAATTCTGTTCAAACTATGAAGCTGAAATAATTGCACTGGAAACAGCAGTATACCACCTAAAGACTGTAATGGATGTTTACCCCTCAAAGGTCCAAAATATTGTCATCTTCACAGATTCAATGTCTGCCCTTCAAGCTCTGGAGGGCAATGAACGCTGCAGAACTGACATAGCCAAGATAATCCTGGATGCCGATCATCTTATTACCTCATACAACATCAGAATAGTGATGCAGTGGATTCCAGGTCACTCCGGCACACCAGGTAATGACAGAGCTGACAGATTGGCAAAGAAAGGAGCAACACAAGAACAACCACCTACAGCGACAACCCTCCAGACAGCAAAAACACTGATAAGAGCTATAAACAAAGAGACTTGGTTGAACAGATGGGCCATGGGAGACACTGGAAGAGAGGTTTATAGACATATGTCTGGCCCTGATCCTAATGACAGCATTAACCATCTAACAAGAAGGGACCAGGCCACCATCTTCAGACTTAGAACGCAACATACTCCACTCAATGGACACCTAAACAGAATACAGCCACAACACTCCCCAGAGTGCCAGCTATGTAACTACCCCTACGAAACTGTTGAACACCATCTCTTTGAGTGCCCAAAACTCAGTGAGACAAGAAGAACGCTACTCCCTCCGAGACCAGACAAGTGGAACACCTTGTACGGAGGAAAAGAACAGCTTGTGAAAACATGCAAATTCCACTACATGGCATTGGGCCAAAGGGCGAAAGCTCATGCGCCGCTGGATCGATAACAACAACAACAACAACCATGTATAATCTGTGTGCTAAGGCAACAGTTAGCATCTAGTCATTTGCTGTTGGGAGACAGCATTTTTTGGTATGCCATGTGTGCTGGGATATCGATTCTGAAATCAGCAAATCATATCTTAAAGGCTGTTCTTAATGCTATCGTTCCATCTTTTGCATGGTTTTCCGCTTGCCTTGTATTTGTTAACATTTCTTCAGCATGACTTGTCTGTGGCAGTTGGTGTCAGGTCATTCTTGTCAGATGGCCAAAAATGTGTCCTGTGTTGCTCATTAACGTCATATCTATTTATATCCTCTTTATTTCATTGTTGACACGTAAGATGTTCACAAGTGATTTCCATCGCTGCCGGTTTACTGCTTTTCTGCCTGTGGTATCCCATGCCATTTTACATTCCTTCCTTTCCCTCTCTGCTTTCCTTCTCCAGGTTTCCTTAGGTCATCCATATCTCCTTTTTTTTCATCCGTCGACTGGAGAGCTTTCCTTGTTAAAGTGTCACCAGGTATTCTTTAAACATGTCCAAGCCATCTTCATCTGCATCCTTTCCCAGTGGTGAACATTTTATTCTTCCTCTTAGTTCTTCATTTGTAATCTCGTTGGGCCAACATATTTGCAGGATTCTTCTTAAAAGTTCATATTTGAAAGTCTTTAGCTCAGTTTCATGAATTGTGTGATTGTTCTTTATTTCAGATAGGAAGCAATAACAGACTGTTAATTTTGTTACATGTGATTTATTCTGTTCACAGCTTTAGTATGGCAGCTGATGAGAGCTTATACAATCTCTATACTTAGTGGGCTGTCTGCCAATAACAAAAATGCAGAGAAATTGATTTTGGAATGGGCAAATGCTAAGGTATCATTATGTTTCTTGAATTTATTAAAATTGCTCTAAGTGTTGCTGTAAAATAGGTTTATTTTTGTCAGCCCTGAATAGTAGGTTCTCTTTTACACTAAATTATGCGACAGTCATACAGCAGTCGTACGACAGTTATACAACAGTCATACAACAGTCGTACAACAGTTATACAACAGTCATACAACAGTCGTACGACAGTTATACAACTGTCGTACGACAGTTATACAACAGTCATACAACAGTCGTACGACAGTTATACAACAGTCATACGACAGTTATACAACAGTCATACAACAGTCGTACGACAGTTATACAACAGTCGTACGACAAAGAAGGTGGTGGTATACTGGGTGTGTCATGAGGAGGAGCAGACAGAGAATCACCAGAAAATTCACTGAAATGGGAAACACAAACATCATCATCCTCAATTTCCACTTCTGCCGTTGAGCATTGAGGGGCGAAATAGTTTGCGATCCATTGCTTGATGAGCACCACTAGCTATTGTCATTCTGTGTCAGTGTAGAAGCTCTTTAATGTCATCAGTCCATCTTCTTATAGGGCTGTCTCTTGCTTTGACTTCAGATCTTTTCATGTGTAGCGCCTGCATTGTTAGTTCTTCTGGTTACATTCTTACTAGATGGCCAAACCATTCGATCTTCTGTTTCTTAGTGAATTTGCTGCATGGTGTTGTTCCTTGTCTTTCTGATATCATTTCTAACTTTGTCTCAGACGGTTAAGTCGGCGGCTTTTCTCAGGCATCTCATAGGGAAACACTTGGACTGAGGAAATGTGGACGTTCAAGAAAAACCCCAAGACGAACTTTGTTGAGAGAGGCCAAGGCTGCTGGACTAGATTCTGTCCATGATATCAAGAAGACTATACTGGATAGAATGAGAATGGAGAAATAGACTGCTAGCCCTATGTGACATACAACGGCACAGAATGATGATGATAAATGCTGGGTCATCTTCATGTAATAAGAATTTATCGGATATATCCTGTTCACCCTCTTGGTAATAATTTGTATAAACAGTGTTTTTGTCTTTTCAGATGCTGCAAATTTGTCAAATATGTTTGTCTGTAGGTTAGTAGTAATAGGCTTCTTTCAGTCCCATAGAACTATAGAGTTGTGCGGCAAGGCAGGCTAATGACAGCACTTCTGATTGACCCCCTTCCCTGTGGCTAGTTCTATAAAGGCAAATATGTCTTTTAGAATATATCCATCCTGCATTTGAGATACGTGGCTTAACCATCGAACCATCTATGCTTGAGGAGAGATGTATTGCTTGCAGACTGTAAGGACTGTATAACAAAGTGCTCAACAGAGCAGATATTAACACAACACACATTCACCTGCCGGCTCAAAGGTTTTAGGTTTGAATCTGCGTCCTGCGCCCTCCTCCACCAAATGACTTTGGCATCCACGGCGACACAGCCTTAACTCACAATATATTGACTTTGTAGTTATATACAGTTTGTAGCTTCAATAATTTCAATGTAGCTTAGCCATAGTATAAGTATGGTACTGTCTGAAACAGTCCTTTGGATGCAAATGTGGGTGACTATCTCATCCTTCGCAAGTGAAATGGATCCTCCTGGATTTACCTCATCAGAAAGAACAGCTGATTGCTTAGCTGCTGCTGGTATAAATTCACCATCCGAATCACTTTGTGAAAAATTTAAATTTGTCATTATCACAATTAGAAAACATCTGATTGAAAGAATTTCAGAGCTTCAGCCACAGAAAGGCACATTTTTTGCCTTTTGCATGTATTCGGAACATGGCCAGTTGAACAGAAAAAATGCACTGTCTGAAAGATGACACAAGTGCAAATGAAGGCCTGTATTCAAAGAAAGACATTAGAGTAACCTTCCCTGAATACTTTAATGGTAGTTTTGAACATTAGAAACGAATACTTAGCTGTTTGAGAAGCAGTATGTACGGGACTCACGATCGACGCTGACAGTGTTGTTTGGGCAAATTGGAACTGCTCATTCTACATTCACTGCATTGCTCGGGTCTTTAACAGTTAAATGGGTACTAGCGAAAATATCTGGGAAGTAAAAGTGACAGGCGTGATGCTGACTGACCACATCACCCACCACTGGTCTATAAAATATAGGTCTAGCCGTATATGCCTAATATGCCCGAAGGCGTGGAAAAGTGTCCTTTGTTGAAACTAAACTCAGCGAAGCAATAAGGAATTTTAGATATAGTATCCTGGATAGTAAATTACTGTTCATTTTGGTATATCATCATCATCAGGTGCCTTGCCGACTGGCGTGGGCGATCATGCCTCTCCATAATCTGCGATCTCCTGCAGCATGTATCAGTTCGTGTGCTGACACACCTCCATGCCATGCAACAAGACTGTCAAGCATCTTCTCTCGTTGTCTACCTCTATCTCTCCTTCCACATATCTTTCCAGTGGTCACAACATGTTCTATTTTCCCTCTTCTCATAACATGGCCGAAAAATGATGACTGTCTCCTTCTGATGTCTGTGATAAGTTGTCTTCGGGCTCCTGCCTCTTTCAAAACCTCTTGGTTGCTCTTTTTGGCTGTCCAAGGTATTCTAAGCATTCTTCTGTAAAACCACATCTCCGAGGCCTCCAGGAATTGTTTGGCCTGCCTACCGTTTGTCCAGGATTCACAGCCATATGTTAAAACTGGATGTATGTAGCAAGCAAGAATTCTTTTTCTAACTCTCAATGACAAGGATAAATTGCACAAGATGTTTTTCATTTTAATTTTGGTATATATCATTTTAGTATATGATAAATCTTAAATAGTATAAATTATAACTTTTTTTTTTTGTTTTAATAAATGTCATCTGATAATTGTTTGTATTACATTTTTTTTTTCATAACAGCTGGACAAGACTGCCAGGTTTTCTAGTTTTGGAGATCCAAACTTGTCAGACGCCATTATCTTAATTAAGCTGATTGAAAAAATCAGACCTTCAGCAGTGGACTGGAAAATTGTTCACCAAAATGCCCAAACATATGATGTAAGTACATCTTTAAATACATTTATCTGTTGATTATGTGTCTAGTCTGGAAGCATTGGTATCATTTTGGTGATTTTAAGATGTGTAGGAGTGTTTATGTATGTGTGTATATATAAATGTGTGTTTATGGGTGTGTGTATGTATGCTTGCATATCTGGTAGATATGTATGTAAGTGTATTTTAGGCATGTAATGACTCTCTCTTTCTGTGTGTGTATATATTTTAAGATATGTAGGAGTGTGTATTTATGTGTGTTATGTATGCTTGCATACATACATGTAGGTATGTATGAAAGTGCATATTAGGCATGTAATGACTCACTCTCTCTCCCTCCCTCTGTCTCTGTCTCTCCCCCCCCCCTTTCTCTCTCTCTCTCTCTCTCTCTCTCTCTCGTGTAAATATATTTTAAGATATGTAGGAGTGTGACTGTATGTGTGTATGTGTATGCATGTTTGTTATGTATGCTTGCATATGTGGTAGGCATGTATGTAAGTGAAAATTAGGCCTGTAATGATACTCTCTTTGTGTGTGTATGTGTGCATGCATGTGTGTGAGAGAAAGACCTATATCCAGAAAAATAAATTGTAATAACTCTTTTTGGGTTTTCCCCAAAATAAAAATAAAAAATGGATTTTTGGCATTGTTTTGTATAGGTCACTGTAGTAAAAGGGTTCATCAAAAAGGATGTTAATTTTTGTTTCTGAGTTAACTTTTACTGTTGTATCTGTGGCTCTTAGATTATTGAAATTATTTCACAACATTGTTTCCTGAATATTTACCAGAGTTTGATTCCAGCTGTAAATGGTTTAGAAAAGAGACAGTTCTTTTGTCTTTCAGTCAGTGATTTGAGAGTTGCGCAATGGTGGAGATTTGGGCCCCAACCCTTAACTCTTCTTTCAATACCAAACAACTCACAATGCATTTCTTGGTCATTCCAAAAAGTAATTGTAATGTCCTTGCTGTTTTCTACTAGAGATATATGTAATATTAACTCTTTCAGTCCCAGGGGGTTTTATCATCAGAGGCCCAAGTGGTGATAAAGAGATGTAAAATTTGCACATTTTGCCTTCATTGAGCTTCTAGTTAGGAACCTATCAACGTAAGATGCGTTAACTCTTTTTATCTGAACTATTCTTCTCCTTCTTTTGTCATCTCACTGATACCAGGTTGTAGCCCAGTGTTGTGGTTTTGTCATCTCACTGATACCAGGTTGTAGCCCAGTGTTGTGGTTTTGTCATCTCACTGATACCAGGTTGTAGCCCAGTGTTGTGGTTTTGTCATCTCACTGATACCAGGTTGTAGCCCAGTGTTGTGGTTTTGTCATCTCACTGATACCAGGTTGTAGCCCAGTGTTGTGGTTTTGTCATCTCACTGATACCAGGTTGTAGCCCAGTGTTGTGGTTTTGTCATCTCACTGATACCAGGTTGTAGCCCAGTGTTGTGGTTTTCTGTCATTGTCTTGCACTTCTCGGATGGCTTAGGGTGGTGGATTTGTTCATATTTTTGCTGAAATATTAATTTAACTAATTATGGCCTATGTTATGTTATGTTATGTTATGTTATCACAATCGACGTCACTGCACATTGAGCATTCCCATGTGTGCTCAATCCTCCGATGCAGCAGCCACTCCAAAGTACTTCTTTTAATTGTTCCCATGAGAAGCTGGTTACATTGTCTTTTATCTCGGTCTCAAAGACAGCATAGACTGCTTCACCATGCTTTACTACCAAGTCACGCAGTCGTGTTAGTGTCAGGGATTCCTCATTATCCACTAGCCCAGTCGGTACAGTGTTCACGATATCTGCTCTGTCCATGCTTCTTCACACATGCCTTAGTGCAATGTTTGCCATTTGGTCCACTTGCTTATCTCCCTGTACGCCTGCATGACCAGGTGTATAGATAGAACCAGGTGAGGGAGGTTAAGCGCAATTTTCAAATTCTGGCCTATGTTGACCCTGTTGAACTCCTTCAGACCTGAGCATTTATGATTTTCACTTGTCACAGCTCCTTGGGATAGGAGTTGAAGTAACAAGAGCTTAGGATTGAAAAAGTTAATATTTTCATAAAGGTTAAAGTCAAGAGGATCGACTTCATTAAACCGAGTTTTATCCAGTATGGCTCCTCTCTCTCTGCAGAACCGCTTACTGCCTGCCGAGAGCGTCTCACAAAGCATGAACTCCATAGCTTAGTTGATTATCCCCAGGGATCTCCATACAAAATTGCACCTGTGAACTGAAGGGTGCAGCTGTGAAAAGAACCCATGACCTTCAGAGCACAAGGCAGACAGATAGACCACTTTGCTACGGAGAACCCTCCCCCCCCCCCCCCCCCCCTCAAATAATATTCTCGTTAGCAGTGATACATTTCAGCCACCTTACACAATGGAGGCAACACAATTTTTCTTTAATTGTTAGATATTGTGAATAGATATGAATCTTTACAAAAATCTTCACTAAATTATTTTTTCTTTCTTTACAATTTAGGACAAACTGGCGAATGCTCGTTTGGCCATCGGAATAGCCAGAAAAATAGGAGCCAGGGTTTATGCTTTGCCAGAAGATATCGTAGAGGTGAAACAGAAAATGGTGATGACCATCTTTGCCTGTCTGATGGCCAGAGACTTCAGTCAGAATGGCCAGAGTTTGACAGATACACATAAAAAAGCTTAGTTAATGTGAGAGATAGTGTGATGATTCAACAGTCAGGGATGAACGGACAGAACTGCTGAATGTTATCAGCTGTTGTCAACTTGTTCCATTCCTTTCATACATTGCCATTGTATTTATTGTTTAGTACTGAATACCTGTTATTCTGCTTCTTTATTTGCTAACATATATACAGTGAAAAACATATTTATTGTTTTTTTTTATTTTTATTTTACATCTCTTCCCTTATTCTTATCTTAAAAGTACAGAACAAATTATTTAGCCAACTTTTTTTGTGTGTTTGCAAAAAAATTCTCTCTTCCCCCACCCCCCCCCCCACCCCCCCCCCCCCCCCCCCCACCCCCCCCCCCACCCCCATAGATGTCTTCTTCTTCTCTCCCTCATCATTATCATCCTTTTCCTCTTTCGCACTGCACTTTCATCTAATTCCTATATTTTATCACTGGTCCCTGTCTCGTATTCTCTCCTGCATACATTTTTACATCTTTTTCTGCCTTTTTATTGTGCCCTGTGGACTCCAGAAAATAATTTTATTCTGATTATAATTTTATAATCCAGCATATTCGTTTTCTTAAATGACTGCAGCATGCTTCCTTCTCTCAGTCAGCTGGTATTTCTTTCCTGTCCTAGATTCTGCTAAATAATTTTCAGTGTGATTTAGTTGAGATGTTTTTGTTGGTATTAATAGCTTCTGTTGGGATACCAACTGGACCAGCAGCTTTTTAAACCTTTGTATGTTTGATCAGTTATCTGATTTCTTCTTTGTATAGGTTCTGATATTTAATATCCTGGTCAAGCTGTAGGCTAAATGTGTGGATCTTTTGTGAGAATAATCTGAGGCCTGAGAACAGTACTTGTTTACCTGTGTTTACAGAGTACTCTCTTACTTGTGTTTACAAGCTTTTTTAACCTTATCCATTCCTAATTGCTTTGCATAGCCAAAAACTGAAAATTGTATAGTAATTAATTGCTGCCACTTTTGTCATCTTTCCAAATTCATATACAAGAGGTGCCAGATCAAGAAACTTTCCCAGGTGAAAAGAGGTTAAATTATTGATCCCGACATTTTTGTAGCTTTCTCTGCATCACACTTTACTTCTTCTTGAGAAGAGTCTCCTTTCATCTTGCTTGGCTGAGTTGTGTTTATTTCCTTTCCTTTCCTTTCAGTTAGTTACTCTGTAAATAAACCCCACCCTTCTCTCTCAATCTCACTCTCTCTTTCTCTCTCTCTCTCTCTCTCTCTCTCTCTCTCTCTCTCTCTCTCTATCTCTCTCTCTCACAGAATGGGCCGAATGTAAGACGGGCCTGCGTGCCCAATTTGTGACCCTTTGAAAAAAAAGTTTGTTCGTTCTCTCTCTCTCTCTCTCTCTCTCTCTCTTTCTCTTCTCTCTCTCTCTCTCTCTCTTCTCTCTCTCTCTCTCTTCTCTCTCTCTCTCTCTCTCTCTCTCTCTCTCTCTCTCTCTCTCTCTCTCTCTCTCTCTCTCTCTCTTTCTCTCTGCCTGCCTGCGTGCGTGCCACTTATTTACTTTCAGTTTAATTCACTTTGTTTTTTTAAGTCTCTAGTGGGTTTATTAAAAGCGTCTCTGAGATGGGAATTAAATTATTAGTAGACTGTGGATTAATAAATCACTTGTGTCATGTCAGAAGAGTAAATGATATCTTTCTTTTTCAAGAATTTCAGTCAGAAAAAAAAGAAACGTTTTAATACATCTTTGTTTTATTGTTTTTAATGGTAAGATTTTAACTATTTTTTACCCGAATATTTATCGGAGTGTAAGCTGTTTTTTTTAATTAACTTACCACTAGTCTTTGATATATTCTTTTAAGTATATAAGTGTTCCCAGTAGTGCATTTACTTAGTTCATTATCTGCATTGCTACAGATTTGTTAAGCGAGTGGTTGTTGCCCATGCTGTGTTAGTGACAGTGATAATTTCATTGAGGCCAGTTTAGGAGACAAATACATCTTTGTTTTAACTCATTCACTACACAAATATTTGTGGGCCAGGATGTTATTCTTTAACATTTTCAGTACCAAGCAACTCCCCATGCATTTCTTGGTGTTTCCACAGGTGTATGATATTCTTGCTGTCTTCTGTTACAGACATTTGTTTTGTTAACCATGCATATTAGAATGATTAATTTAACATCTGTCTCACAGTGTCTCTGGTTGTATGGCTTGTAATTCTTGTTCCAAGCAATGTGTGATGTGTATTTTTTTTTTTTTTTTTACAATTGGACTGTAGAAGTAAAGGACCCTTTTCCACGCCTTTAGGCGTATAGGGCATATAGGGCTACAAATGGACTGAGCATACTAAAATCATTCTGGTTTTTTTAGTGGCCATTTCCAGTGTTTTAAGCCTCTTTGAGACTCATACATTAATGGTAATTTTTCCTTCTAGACATCTGCCTAATGGGTCTGAGAGAGTTAAGCTCAATTACTTTGAATATAATGAGTTAAGGTAACAGCTTCTTGTTGTCGAAAGTGTTCAGCTCCTGTTGTGTGCAATAGTGTGGCTTTATTGGATTAGATTCTTTGCTTTACTTTTTTTAAATAGTCTGTTTAGCTTTTAGTACTGTAATGTTCTTTTTATTCTTCTTATCCATCTTATCCGGCTGTAAACTCTGGTAGACATTTCTGGTTGTTCATCCACTTCTGGACTTCAGTCTTGATCCACAACTTGAGTTTTTTATGCACATCTGTTTTATGTACTGTTATGTTCAGCTCTGTTGTTGAATGAAACAATGTCCATAATGTCACTTAATGGTTTTTGAATGTCGCCGTACGTTTTTCAATGTGACAGAATGCCTCCTGACAAACATGCTATAAAAGGTGTCTGATTAGACGTTTCTAGAAATCTGATAATGGGTCGAAGAACACAGATATCAAAACCTAGCGGTAAAGCACAACACAGCGTGCCATCCAGCATCTTAAGATTGAACGAAGAAGGAAAAGAGTGTGAATTTTAACTACTTAGGACATTGCTGTTCTTGAATGTTTAGTCAAGAGAATCATATGTTTGAATGACCATCCATTCTGAGTATATTTTTTTTAAAATCTTCAACATAGGACCATATATATTAATGTTTATTATGAGCATGTTTATAAAAGTTTAGAGTAATCATGTTTTCTAATGTTCAGTCATTGAGGAGCATATATTTGAACATTCAACATTAGGCCATTGTTCTTAAATTTTCCCTCGCTAGAAATACATTTATGAATGGTTCTCTATTGTTTGTTAGGTGTTTTTGAATGTTCATTACTAGCATGTTTTAAATTTTAACTATGACCATATTCTTGAATTTTCATTGTGGATATGTTTTTTGATGTTCATTAAAACCATGCTCTAAAATAGTTATTACATGCATGTTCTTGAATATTTGATATTGCTATCCCCTTGAATGTTCATTTTGACCAAATTCTTAAAAATGCATGTCTCATTGATTGGATACATGTTTACCTTTTAAAATGTTAGGCTCATTATGAGTTAAACCATTAGGATGACTTAATAAAAATTTAGTGTCTGAATCAGAGCATGAATTTTCACATATGAAGCACATATTTAAACATATAGTAACTGTTTTCAGCAATACTTATTATATCACTACTGTCATATTTTAAACAGTCTTTCAAAATGTAAAACTAAAAAAAATACTGTTTAAAATGCAGTTATATAATCATAATAAAAATTATATATAAAATGGGTACCAGGATGTATGTCCTGGGGAAGTCAAGATGGCCAACGTAATGCTGACCACATTACCCACCTAGTGCCGATTGGTCTGTGATAATATGGGTGCTCTTCCCATATGTTCAATTCGTCTAAAGGCGAGAAAAGGAATCTTTACTCACTTATGTTCGAATATATAAAAATATAGAGTTTTTACAGTGACCCAAATAGTGACCTTTCATGTTATGGCAGTATGCAGGTGAAATTATATGTGATAACAGTTTGGACCTGCATTAAATATTTTCTTCATTCAGCTGTTTTTTTCTTTTTAATATATATATATATATATATATATATATATATATTCAAACATAAGTGAGTAAAGATCCCTTTTCTCGCCTTTAGACGCATTGAACATATGGGAAGAGCACCCATATTATCACAGACCAATCGGTACTAGGTGGGTAATGTGGTCAGCATTACGTCTGCCATCTTGACTTCTCCAGGACATACATCCTGATACCCATTTTAGGCTGGGTCCACCTGCGACCCCCCATACCATGATAAAAATCCACCCATCATGGTACAGATAAATTCACTTCTAGTAAATGAAGGTTATTAGCGTCTAGAATGCTATAACACCATTTCTGGCATAAGTTTATATGCCAGTAATTCTGGTATGATTTAGAAACTACCCATCGTTAATTTCTTTGATAATCAAAGACTGAAATAATTCAGCTAACTGCTGAAAATTAAACTAACGGTGCCAGCAGCAAGAACATACAACATGAAATGTAAACATCACGGTGGGGGTTTTAAGATCCCATTTTGGGGAAACAGAAAAGACTTGCTGCACCCCTAACAAGTATATTGTGAAAGTCAGCTAATTGGGGCTTTTTCCTTTAAAGTTGGAGTCCATCTGCCTGAGAGGTGAGGAACCAACAGTCTGCTTACAGATAAGCCAGATGTGTAAAACATAAGCATACAAAACTCAAGTTCTGAAACGAGACCAAAGTCCAGAAAGGTACAAACAACCAGAACTTTTAGCTAAAGAAGTTTATAGCCAGTGTAAGTGCAGAAGAAAAAGAAGAAATATAGACGCCAAGAGACAGTGAGAGCTAGAAGAAAATGGATGAAATGAATCGCTGACCGCGTAAGACTTAGACAGCATATCAAGCAACTGAGCATGCGTTAGTTCGACTACATGTCATCATTTAAACTGGGAAGCCTCGTGGCACAAAGCAGGTACTAGCAAAAGAAGAAGATAGGGAATGTCAATTCTGGCATTAAATAAATGTTATATTTTCTAGTAGAATAGATTTAATGTCAAGAA